TGGATCCTGCTCTGTGATAAAATATGTCGCGAATTTTGAAATGATAAAATCCTCTTAAAATTGTGTCAGAAATATTAGCTTCCGAACTGACCATGGCATAGACCGAATATTGTCGAAATAATTTTTGAACTTTTTCTTTATATTTTTAACATTTGATGTGAGACCGTCATACAATGAATTATACAAAAAATAATTTTGTGTTAATAGTGGAAGATGAACTTCACCCTTATGACAACAAATTTTTAAGGAATTTCTTTCACGCATTGAAGACTCTGAAGCAAAATGCTTAGGTAAACAATGCCTACAAACCAAGTTCATAGAACCAATATGAAAGGGATCAAAATTAGGCGTGGACGAACTTCGCAAAGGAACACTGAATTATTATCAACATTATCATCAACTTGAATTTAATTTAAATCTGTAGTACTAATTACATTTCGTGTTCTACTCAGTTGCATATTTTCTCTATTTCTTTGTCTTTGTACTGATTACCAATCAGCTACCGAACATGCAAATTACGTCCACAATTTTATTCACAAATTGAAAATAAAGAAAAAAATAAACTCATCAATAATAAAGAAAGCAATGGGATATCGTCAAATCGCAAGAAAAAAATTATCTCTCGAATTAAAGTATTGTTAATGCCGATTCAACCAACTAATTAACCTTGGAAAAAAAATGGTACAAAATTTAACATTCACACAATGCACCTTAAATTAATCTAAAAACTTAAAACCAAAATAAAGGGTATTTTCACTTCAATGTGTTTTTTTTTCACAAACAATACTTGAAATTTAATGTGCATTAAAAATGTAATTGTAACAGAATTCAGTTTTGCAACACGGAAAGTCCAAATACAATTAAAAATGGAAAAAAATCGTACACACAAATCCACCGTAAACAATACACAATTCGCTACAGAAACAAAAAACATTCAAAAACACATGTATTTTGTTGTTGTAGTCGCTAAATTTGACTCACCGCATTTTTACCTGTATTTCCGTTAATGTACATGCGAAAAAATAACGTTTTGCACTTCTGCATGTCTTCACCTTCCCAACGGTATAAATTTTATCCAAATATGTCAACGGCAACACAGTTAAAAAGGGAACACAAACTTTTTTGTTAGCGTAATTGTAAATAGATACATGATGTATACATGCTACAGCTCCAACAATATGTAAAACCTCTATCAAAAGTATAAATTAGATCATTATAATGTGAACGATCAGCTTTTGAACTCATTATTATAAATAAGTGCCTAAATGAAACAGAGTGAATGTACTATTACGTGGACAAACATGCCCAGTAGCCCGTGCCGTAAACATATAAAAAAGATATGCCTGACATCATGTTTATAAAAGAAAGTGAGAAGCCATCATACTAATAGAATGTACTGGTAATGTGTCATGTCATGCGACAGATATTTTTTTATCATATTTGTTGTTGTTATATTCGTTTCTTTACAATTATTCAAGACATGCTCAGTATTTGTATGCATTTAAGTGCGGGTCGTCTAGTTTTTCGTTGCGCATTAATTTTGTAAATTTTTTCATTAAATTTATTAAATCTGTCGTTAAATCTAGTGAATTTGTTTTCAACAATAATATATTAATCATTGTTTTTCGTTCGGTTTTCCATTCGGCATTCCGGTGTAATTTAAAAATTAAATTGAAAAATACAAAAAAAAAATATTTTTTATTGCTCTCATATACTTGGCGTGTTCTTTTTAATATACTTTATTTATTTTTCTGTTCCATTCTACAGTTCAGTTTGTAATGACAGTTCAGTTTGTAAAATTCTTTTGCTGTGGTAACCTCAGCCCCTCTCAGGGATTGTTACAACAAATTTTTATTTGCGAGGACATGATTTCTCAAATGAAAGATATTAATTTGATTTTAAACAAGGAGAGTTTATTAAAATAATTCAAATAAAAAAATGATATATAAGTTATGAACAATTTGCAAAAAAAGAAATAGAATTTAATATGCTTCGTTGTGGATGTGAAATGTTTTGGTGACCAGGCTGATGATGTTTCCTGAGTCCTTTGAAATCTATGCTCTTTCACTTGTACCTCTCGGTATTTGCTTTGGGAAATATATTGATGTGTCGGTTTTGCTCTAGGGCCATTGCTATGTGTACTCTACCTGCATGGGAGAAAGAATTAGCAAACAAGAAAAAATATATATTATTGTTATGAGTGCATATATCACTACGTTTACGCGAATCTTAAAATCACTTTTAAAACTGATTTTAAAATTTGTTCTTGGAACGTTTACGCACAAGAATTAAAAGCACTTTTAAGGTAGTTGTCAATCAATCAGCTGTTTAACGGTAAACAGGAATGTTGATTTTAAACCTTTTAAAAATGAATAGAGTAAAATTACAAATAGTTTTATTTTTATTGCAAAAAAAAATATTATAACCAAAATTGTAGAAAAAAATAATAAAAAATGCAGATTTTAAAAATATCCCGCAGCTCTTTAATAAAATGGCAATACGTTCCGCTAATGAGGCTTTAATGAATGAAAGTGTTTTTATAAAGTTTTTCAAACAATATTTACAATGCACTTTTGTTTTTATGTAGCTTCCACCAGGAATAAGAACTTTTAGCAAAAGGAAGAGAAGTTCGGAGTGGTGGGATGTTGAACTTCTGCAGTTCTATGACGATGAACAATGGATTGCTGATTTTCGAATGAATCGGCAAATATTTTTCAGGCTTGTAGATTTGCTTAAGGATAAAATGGCACCAGCGGGAAATACTTTCGTTGAAGGGTAGTCTGTTGAAAAGAAAATAGCTATTGCAGTTTTTGCCTCTTGTGCTGAAAACCATATAATTGCAAAGGGATTTGAAGTATCAAAAAGTACTGTTTGCTTATGTGTTCACAGTTTCTGTAAAGTTTTAATTGAAAATTAAGTCGGCAAAATATCCTGGCCAAATGCATAGAATGTGAGCGCACGGTGCTGCAGGCTTTCGTAACAGATAGGGTTATAGTTCCATTGCAGTTCAAGCTATTGTGGATAATCAATATTTATTTAGAAATATTACAGCACAAAATTTTGGTTGTGCACACGATGCATCAGTGCTTAGGGGCAGATTTCTATACAAAAACCATTATACAATAATTCCTGACAGCCATAGGGAAATCGACGGAATTTACAACGCCTCAAATATAGCCATGCTTTTTTAACTTCCTTATTATATTTTTGGTGATGTAGCTTATTCGCTTTGTAACTGGATTATGAAAAATTTTAGGGACGAGTTAACTATTGAAGAGACATCCTTCAACTTATATTTGAATCAAGCACTAATTGTTGTGGAGCATTTGGTCGCTTAAACGGAAGATGGAGAATACTTTATAAGAAGAGCGACCTGGGTGTTAACAATATTCCGCATGTTAAAATAAAGCATGCAGAATTCTTCACAATTTTGTGGAGATATCTAAACAACGTTATAATTCTTCATGGGATGTAGAAAGAATCCACGGCGAAACCTGAGCATATGTACAATCGAAAAAATTTGTCGTCCGGACATCTTATGCGAGTTAATATATGCGCGTACCTGGCCAGAAAATTTCCATTTCTACATAAATATAAAGTAACCATTACGGTAAAGTTAAGTTTTTCAAATAGAGAATAAAAAATAAACAATTTTTATTAATTTAGATGCTGGGATACAATTATGCTTTTGATTGTACTTTCAATGGTATTATTGCTACTACGCACCAAATTTTCATTATGCGTACGCTGCTCTTCCAACATTTTGGTTTTCCATTCATGCTGTTTTACAGCTTCCTAACTAAAAAATTTTTCCTGCTGACTAATCATACTTTTCCATTCGCGAGACCAACTTTCATGAAAGCTGGACAACACCTTTGCGTAACTTCCTCTGCTCTTCGATCGATCTACTTGAACTTACGATGTATTCGGTAAAGTAGACTTCGAAGGCAAGACATCTATTAGTGAACAACTGATTCCTAACTCCGAATTCGATTCATCTGCATTATTTACATTTTCTGCACTAAAATCTAAAATCTTGAGCGTTCAAAAATGCGGACGTCGAAGGTAAATCAAGTGTGCTTATAGAATTACATTTAAAGTCTGAATTCTCATCTGCGTTGTCATTCAAATATTCCTCATTCCATTCGCCTGCAATTAAAAAAATTAAAGTTCGGTAACAAGATATTTACTTGTATGATAAATTACCATTTAGGTGTGCAATATACTCTAGATCTCTAGATCGCCCCGTTATTTTGAAGAACTGATGATGATCTTGTGTCAAGTATTTCGCACATCAATGGATGGTATTCCATGCAACTGTTACCTCTACAATTATTATGTTTTTTTTTATTTCAGAGTATTGTCTTTTTAATACCTGCCACTTTTGTTTTATTTGCTGTACAGTTCTGTACCAGCCACTGATTTCCATTTTTTGGCGAACAATTTTATAAATTGTATCCTTTCTATGTTTTTTTGCTCTCTAACAATGCCGTCTAATTATTTGTTTTTCTGCAAATATTTTAATTAAACATTCTTCCTCCTCTTTCATCCAATTTTTTCTTTTTATTTCCAATTTATCTTCATATTTTTAGTTATTTAATTAGTGTTATTGGTAATAAAATTCAAATTATTTGTACCTATTTACTGTTAACAGCTGACAATTCAAACCTTAAACTGCTTTTAAGGTATTTATGCAAAGTTTAAAAGTGACATATCTTACTAAAAGTGATTTTAAACTACTTTTAGTACGCTAAACGTGCTTTTAAGCAAAATTCAATTTAGGGTGTTTACGCGATCTTAAAATCGATTTTAAGAGCCTTAAAAGTGTAAACACAGTATATATATAATAGCGTTCACGTATATGGGCTTAAAACCGCCTCAATGTGTGTAAGCAATTATATGTATATTTCTTATATATTATACACTTGGCTTAAAATCGCCGTTGTGTCAGACACTACTTGATTGATTTTATTGATTTAATGGTGACATATAATGTCACTCAGTGATCATATCATATAAGCTTTTTCTGTAACGCACATATGTTACAACGTTTTATATTGTTTTTGTGCGTTCAGCAAATTTTTAATCATCACTTTGAGGCGAATTCTCTTGACGTTTCTGCAGTTTGTTTCTTTACATTTAATTTTGTGCAACGCATTTTAAGTCGTTATTTATGTTTTGTTAGGAATTTATATAAAAGAAATATTAATTCCAACGTTAGACGGTGAAGGATCATTAAGATATGTATTTATTCTTTTATTTACATCCATTTTTACAATTTTCTTCACATAGTTTCAGATTTTTATTAACAATATATCTTTTTGTGGTTATAACCTAAGTCAGTATTTTTTTTATATTCATATTTTCATTTATAAATTCCCTTATTCTAGGTTTATTTAAGTGATTTGCGGAACATTTATTTATATAGGACAAGTTACTGTTTCCAGTTTATTTATTATTTTAATAATATTTATTATTATTTATTTATTTATTTATGTTTTAATTTAATTTATTAGTTATTTCTCATTCCGTTTTTGATTTTATTTCAATTGTGCTTTTTATATTTGGTTTTCTCCTAATTATTGAAAGAAAAGGTTTTTCAAAAAGTTATGTAATGAAATCCATTATTCAGTTTGAAGGGATCAAGAAGAACTTCCATCGACATACCGATTGTTCTGCTAGTTCTGCAGCTGTATTATCATGGGATAAGCAATAAAAAAGCATTTAAGGGCTTCGGTATACAAAAATTGAAAGATCTATATATCTGAAATAAAACTAACAACATTTTTTTCTTTACAGAAGTCTTGCTAAAAGATGGCTGTACCGAAAAAGAGTATATGGGTCATTCTTTTACAAACCGGACGGATTTTGGCAAAAATGACCTCATGATCTCCGATTTGGCTGAAATTTTTTTTATGAGTTCCTTTCATAAAATAAGAAGATCCGTATTTCGGGAAAAAATTTTGTGATTTTTTTCCTAGGAGATATGGACCCATGGGGTTTTGAGAATTGGCATAGTAGACACATTTTCAAATGGCTATATCTCAAGTTCTATAAAAGGTAGAAACAGCGTTTTAAAGATAATTGATTGAGCTTTTATAAAATTAAAATTGTTAATATTTAAGTACTAATATTAACCGTTAAATTTCAAAAAAAAAATTATCTCAAAAAAAAATTTTTTTTAAATTTTCATTTTTTATATTTTATTTAGATTCAGTTTTAAGTTTTACTGCGAAATAAAAATCTTCAGGAACCTATTATTTTTTGAAATATTTTAATATTTTTTTTCTCCCGCAAAATACATCAAGCACATGCGTATTACATTTCCATTGAATGAATTTTCAAAAAATATATTACATATATTCTTATATAATATTTTTGATTTCGATTAGTAACAAAATTCTATATAAAACCCAAAAATTTCAGGACGATATTGTAATTAGAAGTACTTTTAAAAATTTATTTATTCTTCATACCACACCAAACACATACACACGATTTTTCAGTACAAAAAAAAAAGGAATATGTCACACAAATTTTTTTTTTATTTTTGATTCAAATTAATATATAAATTCTACTTAAAAAATAAATATTTCCACTGTGATAATCCTTTTAGAAGTAATTAAAAAAAATGAATTAATCAGGTGTTCTTCACGTTAGTCATACGCACCATAGTACCATAAAATCAATTTTCGAAGCAAAACGATACAAAAATTTTTACTCTTTATTTCTGAATTGAGTTTATCATTAAATTCTACATAAAAATGAAACTTTTTTGGACCTTAGTATTCTCAGAAGTATTTTTATTGAATAAATAAATCACAAATTTAAAATTTTTAATATTCCTCCGGATAACTCTAAGAATAGCGATGAAGAAGATGACTCGCATCAATTTTAAAAACTCAGCAGGAAAAGTTTAATGGCACAACAGATGGAACTATGAAAATAAAAAAAGTGGGTGTGATGCATAATTGGTCTATCCGAAAGGGTCACGACTTACTTCTTAAACGCTACAAAATGTATGACTACTGTTGCTAAAAAACTTACTTCAGAGAAATGAATCTTACTTCAATAGAGTTTTAAATGAAGAGAAATGAAACTTACTTCAATAGAGTTTTAAATTTTTGCGAATGTGAAGAAAACAGTCAAGTAATGCCTGGGAAAAAAATCTGCATATCCATACAAATTGACGGAAAAAGAACACAAATGCAAAAACGGTCCTTTCTAAACAATTTGAAGGAGTTGCATACTCTTTTCAAACTCAACCATCCAGACCTGTAATGTAGTTTTTCAAAATTTGCATCATTACGACCACAACATTGCGTTCCTGCAGGAGCAAGCGGCACACATTCAGTTTGTGTGTGCTTCATACACGAAAACATACGATTAATGGTAGATGGAGTGAATATAAAAGCACTGACTGCATGCAGTAGAAAACCGATAAATAACTATAAAGATTGCCTACAGCGCATGATTTGCAATACTTCACGCACAGAATGTTTTCTAGGAACCTGCGCCAAATGTCCTGGAACTGAAAATATCAATGAAGAACTTCTGGAGATATTTGATGACAACATGATTAACACCGTTAAATACAAACAATGGGATCGTGAAGAGAGAAGCACATTAAAATCGTTGACATCCCAAATAGACCAATATTTGCAATCCTTAACAAATGGTTTAGAAAAATTGCTGTTGCATTCTTTTATCGTTAAAAAACAGGCAGAGTTTTTAAATGATAAGAAAAGCCACTTAGGAAAAAATGAATGCATAGTATTGCGTGATTTTTCCGAAAATTATGCTTTTGTTGTTCAAAACTCTGTTCAAGGTATTCAAAATACCTTGAAATAATAAAATATCACTGCCTTATTCCAAATTCCAAAAAAGTATTATTGGCAAAAATATTTTCTTCTTCAGACATTACAGATTATGTAGTAATAATGAAATGAGAATTAATAAAATCAATGTAAAAACCATAAAAAAAAATATTTTGTTTTTAGCTCCTTACAGTTTTTTTCCTGTAACATTTCTTACCTGTGCACAGTATTTTTCCAACTGTAGCAAAATAACACTTCACCGAAAAAGGTAGGTGTGATTATGTGCTGCAGGTTTCTAGGTAGATCGGCTAGTACGAAACTAATTAACTTTTTAATTCACCTATATAAGAAAAAAGTTTATTAAACGGTTTAACTATATTAAAATTCATAATTTAAAAACAGAAATGATGCGGAACTAATTTAAAATGTTATGTTTTATGTATACATTATAAAATAATGTATACATTTTTGTATAGGTTTCCTTCGAAAATTGATTTCATGGTACTATGGTGCGTATGAGTAATGTGAATGAGACCTGATTAATTAATTTTTTTTAATTACTTCTAAAATGAATATCACAGTCGAAATATTTATTTTTGAAGTAGAATTTATATATTAATTTGAATCAAAAATAAAAAAAAAAATTTGTGTGACATATTCCTTTTTTTTTTTTACTGAAAAATCGTTGGTATGTGTTTGGTGTGATATGAAAGATAAATAAATTTTTAAAAGTACTTCTAATTACAATATCGTCCTGAAATTTTTGGGTTTTATGTAGAATTTTATTACTAATCGAAATTAAAAATATTATATAGGAATATATGTAATATATTCTTTGAAAATTCATTCAATAGAAATGTAGTATGCATGTGCATGATGTGTTTTGCGGGAGAAAAAAAAATATTAAAATATTAAAAAAAATAACGGTTTCGTGAAAATTTTTATTTCGTAGTAAAATTTAAAACTGAATCTAAATAAAATATAAAAAATATAGAAAATTTAAAAACTGCTTTTGAGGAAAATTTTTTTTTGAAATTTAACGGTTAATATTAGTACTTAAATATTAACAATTTTAATTTTATAAAAGCTCAATCAATTATCTTTAAAACGCTGTTTCTACCTTTTATAGAACTTGAGATATAGCCATTTGAAAATGTGTCTACTATGCCAATTCTCAAAACCCCATGGGTCCATATCTCCTAGGAAAAAAATCACAAAATTTTTTCCCGAAATACGGGTCTTCTTATTTTATGAAAGGAACTCATAAAAAAAAAATTTCAGCCAAATCGGAGATCATGAGGTCAAAAAGGTGTCCGAGTTGTAAAAGAATGACCCATATTCCAAATGCGATGAATTTATTTTTATAGTACATTTTTTATTAATTTTAAATTATTATTTTTATGATTATAATTATTTAAATCATAATGAAAACCATTTGTGTAACATTATTATATTTTTATCAATTTTTGTTGTTTTTTTATATTAAATTTATATTTAATTTATTTAATCTTTTTATATTAAATATTGTTTTTGTCATTTTTATTTATTTTTCTAATAAATTAAAACAAAAAAATATGTTGATTTTTTATTTTTTTTATAAAAATTTATTTCAGGGAAACGTAAAATGCAATAGCATGCCCACAAAACAGTTACAGCCTTACAACCTTCTGATATCGTAAGTTACAGAAGAAGGTGACCTTCTTTTAGAAGCAGGTCGTAAGGCAGAAAATGATCAGCCTCATATTTTTCGTGCACAAGAATCGCTCATGACAATTAGTTTACGTTATCATACTTACTACGTGCTTCAATGGTAAAGTGCATTTTGATTCGTAAACGAAGTTTTACAAATGTCAATTTCGCATTGCATATGTGACACCTTTTGCACTTTACCAAGTCATGGAAATTCTGAAAGAAAGTCGTCATGATGACCACCTAAAATGTAAGTATAATGTAAGGGAAGATAGCAGCATGACGGTCCCTACTGGGACGTCCTGCTCAACTTCTTTACAAAAATTTTTCACATGGATTTGTGTACTTAGTAAATTCACAATTAACAAAACAAAACATTTTGTATTTACCAAAAAGAATTTCTTACAATTTTAGTTAAAATCCATCATAGAAATGAAATTATTATTTAACATATTAGATCTAAAAAATAAAAAAGAAATTAAAATTCTCATTATTTAAGTTTTTGAGTAATCATAGAGACCATTCTTTATTTTGCATCTAAATAAAATATTGAAGTACATACATAAACCAGCAATTAAAACAGATCACATTCTAAGAGGGTTTAGTGATTTTATTTTTAGTGTTATTATTTTTCACTTATAAAGTACTTGAATATACCTTTTATAACCAATACTGCTCCTTCGCTTTTTTGTTCCATTTATATATCTTGGATTATACATCATATAATTGTATAATTTCTATTGTACAATCTAAATAAATTTAGCAATTTGTATATTATATATTTTTTTATTTTATATTAAAGCACATTTCGGTATAAAAACATATTTAAGACTAAAAAGTATTACATAAATTTAAAAATAAATTTTACATTTATAAAAATTGATCACAGCAAAATGTTGCTGCATTCATTTGTTGCGCTATTTTATTGGATCTTATAATTGTAAAATTAAATAATTATAAACATTACAACAATAATAATATAAGTATATATAATATTTGTATTAACATAACTAACAGAATATTATATTCAAATTATATATGATTATAATCGTATGGTTGAGCGACATTTTACCAAAAAATCAAGACTTTGTTTTCTTGCAATAAAAACTAACATAGTACATGCCGTTATGTTGCCTTTGACTTAAATATTTTAGTAGTTATTTTGTAGTTTATTCAGTTTAAGTAAAATGTTGAAATTTAATAATTATAAGGGCCGTACTGAGACCCATGATAATATGGTCCGGGATATATCTGATGCTGGGCATAGTTAGCATATGGTGGATAAGGAGGCTGTTTTTGCGAGTAAACTGAAAGTATAACCGATAATAATGCATATATTTTAAAATTCTATTTAAAATTTTTTTGTACATTTATTAACACATATTAATCACTTTCTATAATTTGGTAGTAAATATATAACAAGTGTAATGATATTAAAATCAAAAAGTTTTGATATTTAGTAAGTCAAGTGTTAAAGTAATGAATATAAACTTAGTAGAGTAATAATGTACGAAAAAATCTGGGAGTCTATTTCTCAACTGTGCAAGCTAAAGTGTACACAAAAGATTGCTAACATTTTGTATCTGCTATTCCTCAAAAGTGAGTTTTTTATAAAAAAATTTTTTTTTTCATCGTAAATTTAGCAGAGTTTTTAAAAAAACAGGAAGTTTTGTGCAAGATTATATATAATTTTTTATATTTTTATTTTTTATTAAGTTTTTAATAAAATGAAAAAAGGTGAAAAAAAGTATAGAAGCAAGAGAGGAGCAAAAGAATGTACTCGAAATTTTATGTTATAAGAACTGTGAAAAACTATAAAAATTTTTTTTTAATATTATTATTTAATATTATTTTTTAATATAAAAATTATTATAAAATTGAAAATTAATTAATTTAATGAGTGCCATTTTGTTTACTTTTTTATTTTTAATAACTGAATTGATTGAGCGAAAATTCTAATTTCTTCACTGATAACTGTCAAAAATACATTCAGCACGTCTTTATTTTACATACAACACAAAAAAGTCACTAGCACTTGAGGAATAGCATTTTATAAGAAAGTGACAACTGCGACGAGAAATGAGTTTTTCTGCAACTTTTTCACAGTTGACAAATCGAGTCGCAATCCGCAATCTCTCAAGTCAATCGAGAGCAGTTGAGTTTGTGGGATCATATTCACCTATGCACAATTGTGCAACGAAAACACAAAATAATAATAACATACATATTTATATATGTATAAATATAAATATTATCAAATTTTTATATTTTATATTATATTTCAATAATATATATAATATATAATATATGTTCATTAATATAATTTCCTCAGAAAGAATTGTAAATAGTAATTTAGTTCTCTAAAATGTAATAAAATAAATTACAGTAAGTAAAGCAAAAAAATATAACATTGCACACATAGAAATTTTTGCAATAAATATCAAAAACAACAACAAATTTTATTATCCACATATAAATATGTGCTTATTTGTGTGATCCACTTTTATTTCCATTTTGTACTTTCCTTTCAATTTTCGCCCCCGAAGTTTTCGAAAACTTGCACTACGAATAATAATGGCAGATTCGGATATTCGAAGACTTCGGACTCAGAAAAAATCTTTTGTTTTTCAACTTCGGAGACTTCGTTTGATATCCGATTAATCGGATTCTTCGAAAACTTCGTACATCGAACATGAATGCATTGTTTTTAAATTGAGCTTAAAGTCTAAAAACCCGATTTAAATAAAAAATTTTAATTATTGTTATTAATTGTCAGCACATGTAGACAAAATGGGTTCCTATGCAATACTTTTAATATCGTATATTGTATATATAAAACATACCGTTAAACTATAATAATTCATAAAATTTATTTAATTATTATAATTAATAATTTAAAATTTTTTAACTGTATATGTTATTTAGAAAAAATTGTGCGACAAAAAATGCATGCGGGTCTATATACGCTAAGCGAGACATTTCCAGTTTTTCTAGTGTTGTCATAAAAATAATGCTTATTTTATGTTCTTTTGAGATATGCTTACAAAAGACAAGGCCTAGAAATGTTTGTTTATTTACGCAATAACAACACACATTAAAAATATTTTCAAAATTTGTTTGGTAAAATACCAAACATAGTGCACTTTTGTTAAAAAAACACTACATGAACAGTACATTAACTAAAGCCTGAAACAAATCAAAAATTTTTTACTCTTTGTGTTCATAAACACAAACTTTAAAATTATAATAGACGTTTTCGGTGGCTCGCAAGTATGACAAAATCCAGCAAGTTACTGCCCTATACTGGCAGAAATGTACGCAAAATAAAACTACTTTCTCTATCTAGGCCAGTAGTTGTATACTCGCTACACAACTCGACTTGTAAAGAAAAAAGTGTTTCCAACGCAATAAGCGAACTATTATGAACATTGGAAATTCCAACAAAATTAAAAGCAATAGAAAACGGTTATATAAAACTTGAATCAACTATTTAATTACTTATCGGGATCCAGCGATCGCGAACGACCACGTCGAGTTGTAAAACGTACGCAAGAATATTATACATAAATATACAAAGAATTTACATATTGTAACGAATTTGGTTTGAGAAATGTCAAATCGAAGCAACACGGAAAAACTGACAGGAATAACGAAAACTAATGTTAGGGTATTCTTTCAGAAATAGAAGTTTGGCTAGTTAGGCCTCTGTTATGCAGAAGGTCTCGGGCACGGCATGAGTACAATTGTTGTTGTTTTCAATGCAAACTTCAAATTTGACAATGAAAGAAAAAACAATATGGCCGTTCAAACTCCGGGATGAGAGCCGGCGTATTTGTGCCCCGGCACTAAGGCAAAACAGTGTTGTTTAGTAATAAATTTCAAAATTTGCGCCTTTTTGGAGCAAATTACTACAATTCTAATACATTTTGGAGAAAAAATGGCAGTAAGCAACACAGCCTTTTTTTATAAATCGCTAATAATATAATTATTACACTTCCCGATTTTAAAGAAAGGAGTAAGTACTGTTAACAATTATTATAAGATTATATAATAAAAAATTAACATTATTACGTCCTCTATTAGTTTTTTCTTGCTAGTTATTTTTGGTGGCAAATTGAAAGTAAGCATATTTATTTCCTTTTAAATTTAGGCACAACCAAAAAGTAGTAAAAATACAAAATTGGCAATACTGATGTGACACTCTGCATAACATCCATTTTTGGGAAAGCCCGAAAGAGCGAATTTTGCCGTGCCCGAGACATTCTGCGTAAGATGACCCTTAGTTGGCAGTTTGAGTTCGTAGATTTAAGTTCGAGCTATAGTTTCGGTTATTTTGTACGAGATAACAGCGTGGATACACAATAAAGTAGGCGGACTTGTTAACAAATAAACTGAAGAGTTTATTTTTGGCATTTGTGGAATTCTTGATAATCCAGTGAGACGAACGGGAGAATCAGGAACGAATTAAAAAAAGGGCAAATTCGTAACAATATTATACACAAATATATAAAGAATATATATACATATATTACAATGACGACTGCTCTAAGGAGCAGTCGTAACTTGCAAATTATCACATTATATATATAAATTTATTAAATATCTTTGCATCCAGAATTAATATTATTAATTACATTTTCATATATATATATTTAAAGATTAAAGTTTTAGCAAAATCAATTAAATATTATTGTCTATGAAAACTCATTTAATTAGTAGCTAACTATAGTCGTTAGTTGTGCTCATAAGTTTGCAGCTCACATCGCAAAACATTTCTATCATATTTCGTCTTTCCCCTTTACGCATTTGCATTCATAAATTTCTGTCATAAGAGTGCACAAAAGTAGAATGAACAAAATAATGTGCGTGTGCTCTAGCTTGAAATATGAGAAATAGAGATTGGGAATTGTATGAGAGTAATTTTCTGTTCTATTCGAATATCAACTGCATGTATAACAATTCAACATGTTGACTTGCCGAAGCGGTTAGATGTGCGGCTAAAGTTTACAGCTCACATCACCATACATTTCTTTCAAATTTCGTCTCTCCCCTTTCAGCTGTTGCTTCAGCGAATAATAACCGCTTTGTGTGCGGAGTACCAGGTAGCACATTTATGCGTTGCAAGTGTGTTCGATTATGTTTGATCACTGCATAAACATGTATGTTTCCAAGTACAAACTCTTTTGTTTGAAAAAAGTTGGTTTGATATTATAAGATATACATATGTATGTGAAAAGTTGTATTTATTCTATATTGATATAATATTAAACTTATATATAAATTATTAATTTAATTTGTTTAATATGTTATTTTGTTAATGAATTATTAAATGTTATATTGTGAATATATTATTGCCTAATCTTATATATTTTAATATATATTACACTAAAACGCTAATTATTTAATATTACCTGGCATCAAGTACTGTAAGTTTAATTGCTCTTCTTTTTCACGTTCATTTCGTAGGCATACAGCAGCTCCAGAAAGTAAAATAGCAGCGAGAAGACATGTTGCTATTCCAGCCCATGCCACTGCATAAGACCAATCGTACACAATTTTGGTATTATCTTTTAAAACCTAACCGATTACAATAGAAAATAGTTAAATGAATATCAACTTTACATATAAATCCAGTCTCTCAATTTATTTTACCGTATTCCATTGTTGAAAAAAATCTTCGCCGACAACCTTTTCTCTTTCAAAAAATTCCACAGTATGCCATAAGCCCATTGCACCAGCCGCAAGTAGACAAGATGCTAATAGCAATATTGACGTTGCTGTAATTGCTCCAGATGACCTTTTCCAGCATCCAGAAAGTCCCGTCCAAAATGCACAAAATAAGGTTAAGAAACTAATAAAACAATTAAAATTAGCCTATGAACTAAATTTTTTTTCAAATGTAACCTTATAATATATAGAGCAACACAAGATCTAGCTAGATGTAACCTTGATGTAGCATCTTCATTCGAAAGTTTATCGTCATCCAGTACAGGAAAATAATCAATATTTGAGCAGTGTGTTTCAATTGGTGATAAATATGTAGGTACTAAAATTTTTTAAATGTTTTGAATCAATTGAAGTAATGGTATTTCAGAAGTGATTCGTTGCTCAAAGAAATGAAAAATATTCTACGCGTGGTAACCCATATTTGATATTTAGCAAGAAACAGGGAATCAAAAAATCACGCAATCGAACATCTTTAGTCAGACAGTATTTAATATATCTCGACGCTGATTCTGGAACAATGTGTACTAATTTTTAATTCATTAAATATCCTTTAATTGAATACCTAATGTTGTTATAGTAGATCCGCAAGCATAGAATTTTTTTCGTTTCTTCAACAACCAATATAAAAAATATCACGAGTATATATAAATTTTATGTGTATTAATACCTGTACTAACTGGTGGTCTCTCTTTTGGAAAACAGATCCGAAATAATCCTCGAGTGCGAGTGTAGTAAAAATATTTATTCGTTACATCAGCAAGAAGAATATCAGCCTCTGAATGTTTAGCAGCAAACGACTATAACAAGAATTCAGTTAAAAGTTTTTTCAAAAAGTAATACATAAATAAAAGCATGTCAAAGAAACTTATACCAAAAAATGCTGGTTCTTAAAAACATCTTTATTTTAAACTCCAGTTATGAAAACAATTATATACCAATTTCAATCACTTGAATTTCATGTCTATTAGTCTGGTGATCAAGGTTTATAGGCTTTTTTGTGTTAATTCCATTTTTTTTTCAAGTGCGCAGTCATACGTGAATTTTTCATGCATTCTATTTTTTATTTAATTAAATAAGTTTTGTTTGCAAGGAACAAAATGTCAGTATTTTCAGAATTATTTTTCGAATCAATTAAATTAATTTACTACAAATTAAGATTCAGTAAAGTTTTTACTTTAATACATTGTAGGTTTATAGCATTGTCAGACGGGAGCTAAATTATCATTAAGGGGCTAAATTATAATTTATTTGCTCCTTTAGCAGTTTTAAATGATCATTTATGGTCTTTAAATGACCGAATTTAACCCAATTTATTCATCATTTAGGTTTTTAGAAATGGTAATGCTGCATATGCAAGCGAAATAAAATAAAAAATGGAACAAATTTCAAGCTATTTGGTTGTCAAAATGTAAACAAAACATATTTGGAAACATTGGTAAATACAAATACTCGATATATTTTTATATATTTTATATTTTTTTTATATATTTTATATTTAATTAAAGCAAGTTTCTTTAATTTTTCTTGCTTATCCATTTTGAATTTAAAATTTTTTCTTTTGCTTTTTCAATAACAAAAAACATATGATACAGCAACTTCTTAATGATAATTTATACCGTCTGTCAGGGTATTTTTAAAATGATCATTTAAGGCTGCTTAATGACAATTTAGTGCGCTCGTCTGTCAATACAACTTGGTTGTATTATCAAAACAACCAAAATGGGCATTTTAATGCTTGTTAAAATATTTAAACAATTGCATATAACATTTGCGATTATAAAAAATCTTCGTATCGCTTTCCCTCTAAAAACAACTCAGATATTTATATTTGTGATGGTTGATGTGTTTTAATAAAAAATTGTAAATCCACGTCTCAAAAAAATTAACTGTCTTGATTGTTTGCCTGAATATTTGAAAAGAGAAATAAACAACATTCAGACTATTGTATCATAAAACCTAGTAACGCGTTGGTGGGACTCAATCTGGTTGAATGAAAATGTAGGAAAACGAATGGAAAGTACAAAAATTGTGGTTCTATTTTTTGTGTAGATAAAACTGTGCAGTGAATCCATAATTGCCATAACTGATGAAATACATTTGGCTTAAGGAATTGAATTAAATAATGCGGTTTACAAATTGAATTCTTACTATTTCTTTCCCTTTCGGATGATTTATAGTTATAAATAATATTAGATAAAAATTATTAATATTAAATATTAGATAGATGAAAATAGACAGATATTTGTTGAAATTTCTGCTACCAGTTGTAGTGGTGAGAATTTGTTAGGTACACAATAAGAAACATAGAAATAATACCACAACATGTAGAGAAAATATAGTACTACTGCAACCCATGAAAAATACCAAACATTCATCCTATTTCAGCAATATACAAATAAAAAAAGCATTGAAATTGCCACGCTCAACACCTATGTTCAAATTATAATGTGTTGAGTAAAAATAAATAAATTTATTCGTTAAGTAAGCCATTACAAAAATCAACTTTCTTTTAGTCTAAATTTCCTCTTAATATAAAATCTTTAGGAATAATAAAAAATTTTATTTTTATAAATCCTACTATCTTAAATAGTTTTTTGTTTCGTCTATTGGCAATAATTTGGCTGCGCTACCATGTACTCGATTGTGCTGAGTCTATGGGGTTATTTAGACCTAAATGCGTTATTAATTAATTAAATAATTTGTTTTCAACACTGACACTGTTTTCCTATAAAATTTTTAAAACTATATTTCAATATAATATGTCTCCTGAAAAAAATATAAAATCAATGTTCCCTAGCGCATGGAACTTCACCTAAATCATCCTTATTGGAAAAAAAAATCGAGTGTAAACTCTTGTACTATCATTAAATAAGCATTACTTTCTCATACAACTGCTTATTGAAATTTCTTTAGAATATTTGAGGTAGCTATGAGTAATCACATATTCATGTATTCTTGTTTAATTCATTCAGTTTAAATCTTGTAACGACCTTTTCCGGCCCTATCTACAGCTGGGGTATACTCAGCGAGTATACCAGGGTTCGTTATAAAAAAATATTTATTTAACTATGTAATTTACATTCGTTTAGTTTGTGGGCCTATATTTTAGCGCAAAATTTGGGTCTTACAATCTTCATATTTCAATCGAAAGACGCGAAAGGCGATCACACCGCAACTATTTTATTGTTTTGTTTTTTTTTAATAGGAAAAAGTTAATTTTATATTTCAATGTATGAATAATCAAGCTATTGATCATAAATAAAATAAAATTATCAAAAATGGTGCCCGATTTTAAACGCTAAAGTAAATGTGGTGTTGCCACAGTATAAGTTTCAAGTGTTTTTAAAAAACTTGAATAAAAATAAATTTTATTTAATTATAAATATAAAATTTTAAATAATTAAATGAAC